TTCTCTCGCCTCCCCCCCTCCCCCTATTTATTGCACAGAGCGCCAACATCGGCACTTAAGCCCCCGATTTATGGCCCTATAACGATGTACATCTCGACCAACAAGGAGAAACCCACCTCCTTGTTGGTCGTCGTCGTCGTCGTCAGTGTCTGGAGCTATGGCTGCTTATGGCGACGTCCCCCTCGCCGCGAGCACCCCCTCTCCCCCCAGCCCCTCCAATTTTCACACCTAGCCTCCCTCCCCCTTAATCCTCCCTAATGCCGGGGGGGGTGAAGCGATAACCACCGGTGCCGTCGCTGCTCCCGCTGATTCCATTTTCGTTTTGCTTTATTCCCCCTGCCGACCGACCCCAGAGGGCATTCATCTTTTCCGAATTGTATTATTATATTTAGTCGCCCGCCCATCCACTTATTTTCTTCTACCAAACACGTTATATTCGCACATTTAACCAGATTTCGGGGCGGTGGATGGGACACGCGGGGTGAAAAATAAAAAGGATATCTCTCTCAATATTCATTTGACAATTTGTGTGCCGTTGTCGTCATCGCGCTATTGTGACCAGTTTTTTTGTGGGTTTTTTTTGTGGAACTGTCAAGACAGACGTGAGCGAGTTTTCTCACAGGTGCTAGGCGATGATGACGAAGTGGTTTCGGAAAGACATGGAAGTCCTGTGACTTACTACGAAATTCCCGCTTGGCGTTGCGAAAAGTATGTCACGAAAGACTGGTACATACGAAAGGAATGGCGGATGTATATCCTTGTTTCCGAGTGATTGTCCTTACATCTCCTCGCACATTTTAAGGATCTTTCGTGATTCTCCAGAGGGTACTACTTTTACTACGCTTCCGCCTTCGCGCTGCTGAGAGAGCAGTAGAGGAAGAGCGAGAGAGAGGGGTGGGAGAGAGAGATAGCGAGTGAGAGAGCAGCTCACGCCACCCAGCAGCCCCCTCTAATCTTACGGTTCCTGGGCTTCTGCTCCGCTCTGCTCACCTGGCCACAATTCAAATGTGTCGCGAGGGCTGCGACTTCGGGAGGCGAGAGGGGTGATGACGCGCTCCCCTCTCAGCACCTTCGCCTCGCGTAACGTTTTGAATTCGAACAAGAGAGCCAACTCCTCCGACAGACTGCTCTCTCCTCTGTGTCCTAACCGGCCAAGAAGAGAGCGACAGAGAGAGGGAGAGAGAGAGATAAAGAGAGAGAAACAGGAAACGAGGACGAGTCGTGAAGGGAAAGAGCGAGGAGCAGATAGTACACGGAAAGAGAGAGCCGAGGGGTGAAGTTGGGGCTTCGAATGAAAAGGTAGGTGTCAAAGAAGCCGCCCTGGGGAGAGACGTGGGGGAGGGGGGAAGGGGGAACGTGCCGCGGGCAGAGACAAACGTGGCGCCATACCCAGCGTGTATGGGTTTTTGGAGAACCCATGACTCTCCTC